AAAGGTTTATTAGATAAGAAATATGTCAGAGATAGAGAGTACATGGCATAGATAACTACAGGGAAAATGGTCCATGTCTGCCATCTTGGCTGTCTTCTTCCTTATAGAGTTTGACCTTGGGTTAAATAGTGACAATTGAAGTCCCTTTGATTGGTGAGTCTCCTTTCTGTTTCTTTATGGTTATAACACCAAAGATTTACTACTTTGTCCTTATTTCTTCATTTGTTAGTTCTGCTTGCCTTTTGTAGCCTCCATCCTCATTTCATTGTCAGGCCAGTTTTTTCAGCTTATTCTACCATCTGTGAACTATTGGCTACAATACCCTGCCTGTTTTTCTGCTAACCTACATTATAACTAATGTTATACTGGTTAAATTATTTCTTCCAAGTTCTTTCCCTGGAGGATTTGATTCAGTAGTTCTACGGTGGGGGTCTAAGAATTCTGTGGGTAATTTTGATGCACATCTAGGTGTAGGAAGAATTTAGTATGTTTTCACTTTGACATCTTAGAGAATTCTAATCATAGGACAAGGCAGACTTTGAAAGAACTTCAGGCATTAGGTAAATGAAGATACTGTATTTATTCAAAGTCAAGCAAAATACTTTCTTATCTGGGTGATATCTGGGTTATTGAAGCTTAATGTAAAAGTTGATGTTAAAATGAATTTTGAAGAAAAGGTAGAGATAGGGGTAGGAGCATGGTTGCATGGCTGGTGCTTGGTCTAACTTAGTTGGAGGCCAGAATGTGTGTCTGTATATGCTTGCTACCCTCGGGGAAAGTGAAATGTTCTTATGCAATGGGCCACAATTCTTGTCTAGATTTTCCTGTTTCACCCTCAAACTCATTTTCCTTAATGAGGATTTTATTACTGCAACTTGATTGTTCGGAGGAAGCGAAACAAGCATGTGGTCAAGTGATAAGAGACACTGTGAAGCTGCTTTATAAAATAACTGAACATCTTCCTCCAGCTTATAAGGGCTGGGCCCTTTGAAATCTACTTTGACCACCCCATTGGTTCTTTGGTTAGATACAAAGACCTTATATGTTATCTAAAATAATAGTTTTGATGCAGAATGATTATTATTAAGCCAAAGTTAGCTTTTTTAAAAAAAGATGAATCTATGTAAAGGCAACATTTTGAGTAAATTATATAGCATCCACTTGATGAAATAATGAGCCTAAGTTTAGGGGATGAAAGTAATGATCTAATGCAATATTTAGAATGGATATGTAGTATGTAGTTATTAACCTAAAAGTCACATCCTGCATTCTTTTAATTTGTGGAAAATTTGTAATTAATTGCTCAAGAAACCTCTGATTTTTTATACATAATCACGTCATAGCTGTTGACTTTCTCCCCCCTCTCCTCCCTTAAAATATATCCTTATAAACAGTAGATTACTTTCAGATTTGTAATGCCTTCTTTAAACATTGAGTTGCTAAGTTTATCCCTGTTGCTCTCTTTTTAAAATAGAATTCCTTTTCCCCTCCTAACTACTTTGGAGTAGCTACCAACAAATCACACTTTGTTTTTTGATGGTAGCTGGCTTAAAATCTTATTTAACCCTTCTGCCAAGTGAGAGCCTGCTAATTCTGAAATGGTTTCTTTTCTTTTTTTTGGTTTTAATTATCGCTGTAGGGAGGAGATGGGTATGGTCTTTCATTTAGAAACAGTTTGAAAGATAAGGGCTGACCCTTTGTTCTAACTCATTCTAAGTGGGACAGTGTCAAAAACATAGGAATTGAAAATCGAAAAGAACAAATAAGATGGTAGATTGATAACTCTTGCCTCTCCCTGGCAAGTGTCTCATGTCATTCTATGATTTACAAATTAATTTGTTATTATCAGCAATTCACTACCTTATGTAGTCTTGCTGATGTTGGTCTATTAACCATTAATTAACTTCAAAGCAAAATAATAGAAATAACTAACCCCTTGTGATTAATTGGTTGCAAGGAATTATCTTTACTTATTCGGATTTGTGGCCACTGACAGAGCTTATTAGAGAGTGACTTTCAGCAGTATTACTTTGAAAGGAAAATAAAAATAAAAATAAAAATGAGTACAATGTAGCTAGATCAAGAAAGTATTTCACAGGGCCAGACATGGTAGTGCATGCCTGACATCTCAGCTACTTGGGAGGCAGAAATAGGAGGGTTATAGTTCAAGACCAGCCTGGCACAAGGTTAACAAGACCACTAGCTATACAGGAGGTACAGGTAGCATGATTTGAATCCAGGCTGGCCTGGGCCAAAAGGTAATGAACCTTATCTGAAAACTAAAGCAAAACGATTATGGCTCAAATGGTAGAGTACCTGCCTAAGCAGTACAAGGGCCTGAATTCAAACTGAAGTACTGCCCCCCGCCTCTCCCTAAATCAGGTATCTGTCTTGTGGAAATGATCTCAGACTTGAGAGAAGTCATCCTTAAATTCAGAAAGAGCATCCTGAGAAAAAGATTATTATATTCCTGCTAGACTGTTAAGAGGAATAATAGGGTCAGAAATGTAGACTTTGGAAGCAAATATAAAACTATTCCCCCTTTCACATTGTTCTCTATGTTTATATTGCCCATAGTGAAGTTACAGTTGCTTTTTTTTTTTGGTCAGTCGTGGGGCTTGAACTCTGGGCCTGAGTGCTGTCCCTGCGCTTCTCAGCTCAAGGCAAGCACTCTACTGCTTGAGCCACAGCACCACTTCTGATTTTCTAGTGGTTTTATTGGAGATAAGAGTCTCTTGGACTTTCCTGCCTGGGCTGGCTTTGAACCGTGATCCTCAGATCTCAGCCTCCTGAGAAGCTAGGATTACAGGCATGAGCCACCGGTGCCTGGTTTCACTGTTGTTTTATCAAAACCCCAGAGCTCTTATCAGCTTATGTAGTAGGGATTCTCATATTATTTCATTTGCTTCAAGAGTTCTGACTTTTCAGAATTTTTTTGAAAACTATCAGTTTAGCTCAAATGCTTAGCACCTTATAGATAATGTATTTGAAGGTCAAAGAAATTGAATTAGATACCATAAGCCTGAAATTACATGTTGACAAACTAGAAATAATGAATCTGTACTTCCCATCCCTGGCATTTTATTTAAACTATGAAATGTTATTCTGATTTTCCATTTTGAAAGATACAAAACTGGTCTGTGAAATGGTGATTAGCACAAGGCAGCCCCAGGCAGCCCTGGAGTGCTCCACGGTTCAAATGCCCAAGACCAGATGGAAGTCCAGAAGTGGATGACTCAAAGTTTATTAGTTTTGCCACCTGGGCAGTACAGCCGAACCAGCTGCCACAAGGCAGTTCCAATTTCAACAGAGCAGTAAATGAACATAAAAATGAGTGTAAATCCCCAGAATATAGGAAAGGAGAAAGGTTCCAGCAAGGAGATTCATCCAGGGTGAGTCCTGATGGTAATGCTTGTAGGAGGTGCAGCTGACATGCCAGTGAGAGGGTAAGAAAAGGTTGCACCAGTGGCACCAGACCCTGTGAGGAAAAAGTCAACCTTTGAGTTGTTTCAGGGGCCAGTATCAATTGGAAATGTGTGATTGAATTGTTCATTTGGGTTGTTCCCAGTCACATCTGATGGTCTAGAAAGGTCAAAATGAGCTAAGGCTATATCATAATTATATCATGAAACTAGAAGTAGATTCCCCCCCCCTTCTTGAAAACTATGGAAAATCTTTCAATCATCTCCTTTTCACAATTTGGGACCCTGGAATCACAGGTGTCCACTGAACATAAATACTTATGAAAGCTCATAAGGAATCAAGTGGTTTTTCTCATGGTCTTTTCATATAGAGTTGAACTTGATCTGTTCATGGAAATACTGCAAGACTCAGAAGTTTACACTAAGATTCTAGATGACCCCTTTAATGACGGAGAAAGTGCTCCAAAACCTAAATGAAAATAATGATAAGGCTATGGGGCAAAGAGCAAATGGGTAGAGGCACAGTAATTTTTTATTCAATCAGGGTGATTCACTAATGAGTTATTTAAAAAGTCAAATAAATCTTGATTTATTATGTCAAAAGTGCTTGGGCAGTAAGTAACAGAAAACATGACTAAACTAAACAAAATAGAAGCTTACTCTTATTCCCTTTTTCATGGAATGGGAAATTCAGAGGAATGTGGCTCCTGGATTTTGGTGGCTTATGCATATAATTCTAGCTACTTAGGAGGTTGAGATCTGATGATTGTTGTTCAAAACCAGTCAGCACAGGAAAGTCCGTGAGACTCTTTATTTCTAGTTAATCAACAAAAAACTGGAAGAGGAACTGTGGCTCAAGTGGTAGACCACCAATCATGAGTACAAAAGCTATGGAACAACATCTAGGCCTTGTGTTCAAGCTCTGCTACTGGGCCACAGAAGCAAGCACATACGAACACTTTGGAGAGGGAAAGGCTTGTAGCAGTAGCTGATATAGTTTTCTAGGCTGGATGCTTTGATGCTCTACGCTGGACTAAGGTGCCCTTTGCTTGGGTACCTTTTCACAAGCTGAATGTCTATACTACATTTATATAGTTCTCAATAGATAATTACTTAGTTCTCATGCAACAATGTAACAGTACTCTTTGTTTAAGAATATAGACGTGTATTTTTTGAGTGGGGGTCAAGGGGAAAGGAGTAGATTAGAATGAAAAAGAGAAGGAGAAAATGCAGACAAAAGCCATATATATACCACAAAATTATATATACCACAAAATTAAGAAGACTGAGGGAAGGGTGGTGGTGGGTAGGGTAGGGATGGGTAGGGAAGGCATGGGTGAGAATGTTGAAAGAGGTGACATTGATCAAAATATGTTAGATTTGTAAAGTGCTTTGTTAAATGGCAACTCCTTTGTATAATTCCTAAAAGATAATAATAAAAAATCTGTTTGGATAGTTTATTTTTCTTTTACAATGACATAAAGTAAAATCACTTTCATATGATAATATTTTGTTTATGAGTATAACTAAACTGTTTCTCTCTCTCTTTTTAAACTTTTGTTCTTTTCTTTCTGGTAGGTGGCATGTTTGACCCAGATAGCTGCTAATTATCTTATTGGCCAAAAGGAAGCCAAACGCTGGGGTACAGCTCACGGCAGTATTGTCCCTTACCAGGTAAGAATAAAATTTTGTCTTGAGTTGCTAGTATCTGCAGTTTTGTACCATTTGAGTTTGGGAAATGGATTTCTTCAAAAACCCTCCAGGGCATTCTGTAATGTATCTCTGTCTGGTTAAAACAAGGTTCTGTTGTTCTCTTTAAATTCTGTGTTTTGCACATTTCTTCATCAGAAGAAGATTAGAAACAGGATGCTCAAATGGATCAAAGGAACTTGCTGAAAGTGAGTGACTTTTGGACTCATGTGATTTTTTTTTTTTTTTTTTTTTTTTGCCCCAAAGAGGCAGGGACTGTAGCCACTTTAGAAAGCATGATTTGTTACCATGTCAGTTATAAAACGAATGCTACCTTCTCCATCTGACAATAATATTCTCACAGGGTTGGAGTGAAAGGAAAATTTGTGTGTGACAGATCTTTTTGGAGCAAAACAGATGGTTCAGTTGCTGCTGTTCTTTATTAAATGTTTAAACTTACCCTTCAAAATTCTGGACTTTGGCTAGTGTGAATGAATATGTGAAGAAACTATGATCTTTGCAAAATAAAAACAAGCACTCAACTACTTCCAAAGCCCTTACCTTTGCTTAGACCATTCACATCATATTATATTTATTAACTTATTGGCCTTATCTTGCACACTGTACTATATAAGCTCAAGAGCAGACTTGTCTTTTACATCGTTCGACCTCTTCCTGCTACCCTTGAGCTATCTGTGGAATGAAGGAGTAAATGTTACTTGTAATTTTAATGCTACTGCTCTTGATGGCAATCATAGATGTCAGTGTTTCCCATTTGCCAGGAAACCTCTCAGCACTATTACGCATCCTTTTAAGTTTAAAGAAGTACAAAGCTACTTTCTTTACTATTTAAAAAATCCAGCTGAAGTGATGTCTCACATCTGAAATACTAGCTACTCCAGGGAAAAGATACTGCTTCAAGACAGCCAGAAACATAGTAAAGCTTTCATTTCAACCAATAGCAGGGCATAGTGATGCATGTCTATCATTAGAGCTCTGTGGGAAGCATGAATAGGAGGATCATGGTCCAGGACAGTCTTCTCCAAAATAACTTAAAAAAACACCTTTGTGGCTGGAAAGGCAAAGCACCTGCCTAGCAAGCATGAGGACCTAAGTTTAACCCAGAGTACCATTAAAAAAAGATATCCACTCTTTCTAAGCTTGGTCCATGCCTCTAGCCTGGCATTTTTCTGGTTATTTTGGAGATGGGGGTCTCTTAGACTTCTCTGGTCAGGATGGTTTCCAACTGTGATCCTCCAGATCTCAGCTTCTTGAATAGCTAGAATTATAGATGTGAGCCCCTGGGACTTAGCTAGAGTGGTGTGTGTGTGTGTGTGTGTGTGTGTGTGTGTGTGTGTGTGTGTGTGTGTTGGGACTTAACTAGAGTGGTGTGTGTGTGTGTATGTGTGTGTGTGTGTGTGTGTGTGTGTTGGTATGCGGGCTTGAACTTAGTGCCTGGGTACTGTCCCTTAACTTTTGTTGCTTAAGGCTGGTGTTCAAAGCAACTTTTGTTGCTCAAAGTGGTGTTCTACCACTTGAGCCACAGCTCCACTTCTGGCTTCTTAGTGATTAATTGGCAATTAAGAGCATTTTGGATTTGTCTGCCTGGGGTGGTTTCATACTGCTATCAGCAGATCTTAGCCTCATGAGTAGCTAGGATTACAGGTGTGAGCTACCAGCTAGAATGTCTTTTTAAAAAGCTTCTGAAGACCTCAGCTATCTCTTGTGGGCATCCATGCCAAAATTCTGTTATCTTGTATACAATCTCATTTGTAAAAAGAAAGTAAAGAATCTTTAACTTTTATTTTGGAAGGTAAATGATACAAAAATGTCTTTCTCTTGGTTGAACTGAGTCATATTAAATAGATTCTATGCTTATTTGATCTTAGTTGATTGAAGCTTCATTATCTATAGGAAATAAAAGATCTATCAGGGTTCTTTGTCAAGAGCCCAGACTTAATTTGTTTCCTCTTGGTAGAGAACTGGTTCAGCATAATGTTTAAAAATAAATGCAAATTTAACCTGAATGAAGCTAGCATAGCAAGATGGGTCCTAGATAAGCTAGATATCCTGGTCTGTTTTCAATTTTTAAATAGATTTGGGGACTATTTTCAAGGGTGAATGCCAAGATAATTATAATTCAGTTTTGTATAATTATAACTTTGCATATAATTTCAATGTAAGTTTTGAGCTGAGCTATAATGGAAGACCCTGATCATCTCAGGAGTTAATGTACCCAGCTCACTTTCCTTACTTGTTAAAACCTGTCTTGAAGTTTGTATAACTTGGAATGTAGATTTATGAAAAGTAGTTATCTTTATTCTTAACTGCTCAGATTGTTGGTGTGGCTCTCCTCTATTATTTGACTGCCAACATTTTTCTTTCTTTCCTTTTTACCCTCCTTCCCTCTCTCTCTGCCTTTCTCCCTCCCTTCCTTCCTTCCTTCCTACCTTCCTTCCTTCCTTCCTCCCTTCCTTCCTCCCTTCCTTCTTCCCTTCCCTCTTCCTATCTTTTTCTTTTTCGTTCGTTCTCCCCTTCTCTTCCCTCCTCCCTTCTCTTCCTCCCTGCCTTCAGTCCTTTGAAATCACAAAAGCTTCTTTAAAGGGATATTTCTTTCTTTCTTTCTTTGCTGGTACTGGGGCCTGGACTCAGGGCCTAGGTGCTGCCCTTCACTTTCTCTCAAGGATGGTGCTCTACTACTTGAGCCACAGATTGACTTCCAGCTTTTCCTGGTGGCTAATTGGCGTCTCATTGAAGGGGTAGGTAACACGGATAAAGAAGAAATGTACTCATTACCTTGCTTATGTAACTGTAACCCCTCTGCACATCACCTTTACAATAAAATTTAAATTAAAAAAGTCTCACTGGCTGTTCCTCCCTGGGCTGGCTTTGAGCTGCAATCATCAGGTCTCAGCCTCCTGATTAGCTAGGATTATAGCCTTCATTCACTGGCACCTGGCTTTCCAAAGAGGTTTGACTAGGATTTGCTGGGTAGCTTATATGTGCCTTACAGGTAAAAGTTTAACAGCAGACCAAGACTCAGGAGTTTGAGAGGAGTGGGATTGTGGAGTGGTTCATTTTGTGTTCTTCCCAGCCTTTCAAAAGAGGAGCCTTCAAAGAGAAATTTTCCTTAAAACAATCTGATAACTCATATGGTGATCTCTTCAAAGCTTTCCTTCTAAAACGACTTCTAGGCCAATAGATTAAAGGAAACTACTACTTGGATGATTAAATAAAATTATATATTCTTTGCTTAATTTGTTTGTATTCAACTAAGCAGTAGGGCAGAAGACTGTGCTTTGTTATTTCTGGACATTTGGCAGAATTAACTATAAAGGTTCAGTCAGTAAATTCCAAATTTGTGGAGGTGCAATACTTGGTTATCATTCCTGTGAAAACATCAACTCATGGCAGATTAGGTAACACTGAGAACTTTTTTTCCCCTGTAAATCACTGTGAAAGGCTTCTTTTAACAGTCAAAATTTAAACAATTCACATTTATCTCTTTGAATGTGATTTACTCACATGAAAAGTCACCCTGAGCCAAGTGCCACTGGTTTATGCCTGTAATCCTAGCCACACAGGAGGCTGAAACCTGAGGACAGAGTTCTGAGGTGGGCCCAGTCAGGAAAGTCTGTGAGACTCTAATCCTCAATTAACCACCCAGAAGCCAGAAGTGGATCTGTGGCTCAAGTGGTAGAGTGCTAGCCTTGAGCAAAAAAGCTAAGGGACAGTGCCCAGGCCCTGAGTTAAAGCCTTAAGGCCGGCACACAGATACACAGACACAGATACATTACCCCTCCCCCCCCCCTCAAATCATACTGAGGTTCTTACTGAAGTGTGAAGGTGAAATTCAAACAGATATATGATTTTGTTGTGTATTGACTTTGATAGATGCATTGCTAAATGTAGTGGCAATAATCATGTATTTCCCTTTGAACATATAATACTGTGTAACTGTGGTGGATCTATACTTATCCATATATCTATGACAAATTTATATATCTCTACACACACAAACACACACACATTTTTCCTTTTAAATAGATGAAAGGGACTACAATACAATGACACTCCTCCTACGCACAAGATGATCTAGGGATGTTAAGCAACTCTCTTATGTCCTAGCTTAAATTAGAATGATGGCTTTAATCTATCTACTACATCAAAACTAGAAGTTCTTTTCACTCCTTGATACAGAGTAATGTATAATCTCCATTTCTTTAGCAGATAGAGCAATTCTTCTAATCTGTTTCCATTTCCATTATCTCTTTGGCAAATGATCTCTGTTATAATTCTAGAAGTTACAAGAATCATAAGTGACCTAGAAATGAAAGTATATTTGAAGTCTGAGCTATGGAACAGGTTCATTTTCCCTCAATTGAAGTTTTAATTCGTTGCTCTTATATGTTTCTTAATGAATCAAGTAAACAATTTCTTGATTAAACTTTTAGTTAGTAAAGCTCCATTGAGAAAGAAATGAGTCCTTGATTTTAAGTCCTTGACTTGAGGGTTTGAGTAGCTGACAGGGTATGAACTTTGGAGGAAGACAGGCTTCGAGGAGTTAAGTAAGATAGTAGTGCTAAATGTTTTAGGCTCTCCAGGCATCTGAGAGATGTCTGAAGCTGAACCTAATTTTTGTAGCTTTGTAAGTAAGAAACAGTGCCATTGAGAATGTCCATGGAAGCTCAAGGATAGAGTAACTAAGGAAACATGGCTGAAGTTCTTTCTTAAATGTAATGAAAATTTTAGTTTCACTCTTGTTCTTAAAAGAAGAAAGAGGGCAACATGTGGAGGTATTTTTGTTTTAAAAACCTTATCGATCTTTCTCTGAAATTGTAGGGTTTAGTGATTGCCCAAATGTAGCATTATTAAAAGAAATATTGTTTGGAAATCATGTAGAGTTATTAAAGGTTTACTGAACTATTTAAAATAGTTCATTGAAATTCAGCTTAAAGTCATAACTCACAAAATGAAATATAGGA